GGACACTATGAGTTCTGGTCATACCATTAGGCTAACCAATGCCCCGCCCATCTTTATGGACCTGATAAACAGAGTCTTCATAGAATTCTTGGATCAATTTGTTATCGTGTTCATCAATGACATCTTGGTCTACTCAAAAAGCAGAGAAGAACATCCTCACCATCTAGTCCAAGTTTTGCAGGTCCTTTGAAAAAAGAAGTTATATGCAAAGTTGAATAAGTGTGGATTCTCGCTTGAGTAGACCGTCTTCCTAGGACACATCATATCGAAGGAAGGAGTATCAGTGAATCCCGAAAAGGTTGAAACGGTACTTAGCTGGGAGAAGTTGACTGTTAAGGAAATCTGTAGCTTCCTGGAAATGGCGGGTTATTACTGCAAGTTCATCGAATGATTCTCTAGTCTAGCAACTCCCCTAACCCGACTCACAAAGAAGAATGCCAAGTTTGAGTGGAATGAGGACTGCGAAAGAAGTTTTCTAAAATTAAAGAAGCGGCTGACCACTGCACCCGTGCTGGCTTTACCGAGTGGATCGGAGGGATGTACAGTTTATAGTGATACCTCCTATCTAGGCCTGAGTTGCTTTCTAATGCAGCATGGGAAGATTATAGCTGTTTAAATTTTTTTTTAATATAATTATTTATTAATTAAATTAAATTTATTTTATTTTATTTAATTTGATTTAATGAAATAATAATAATAATAATAATAATAATAAAAAGGGTGAAAAATTAGTTAAGGATTTAATTGAAAATAATTTTGGAAAAAATGGGTGAAAATTTGGGTTATGGAGGTATTTTTAAAAGAAAAATCCAAAACTGATGGTCAAAATATAATTTAAAAAAATTACACCACATTAGATGCTTGGTCAGAAGCCTCGACCAACCAGGACGCGCCAAGTGGCAGAGCCGCTGATGTGGGGGAAACCACGTGGGCGATCTGCGTACGTGCGATCGAACGACTGAGATCTGTTCTCGCGCGCACGGACAGTTCAGATTCAAAACGTGTACGGATGGCCCAGATTGCATTGCGCACGGAAAGTGCAGATTAAATCGCAATGAACGGTCCATATTCACTTCCTATTTAATCGTGATCGGACGATCTAGATTAAAAGCGATGGACGGCCCAGATCAAAAGCGGATGGGTATAAATAACCGTATCTGCACCCAAACCCTAACTCTAGCCGCCAGAGCCCCTCGTCAAAGAAGACAACCCAGCCGCCGGGGAGTCGACTGCCGCAGCACCGGAGTAATTTTTGACTGCCAAATGAGGTAAAAATTTTTCCTCTTGCACGAAATTCAATTTTAAACCCACTCATGGCCAAATCGGAGTGAAAGAACCGGTCAATTAGCCGAAAAATACCGCCGCCACAGGGCGTTTCGAAAAACACCTCCGATGAGGCCCTTCCCGATTCTTGTTCAATGTAATTTTTCCACCGTTGTGATCACCATTTCCTTCTCTATAGGTTGACCGAAGCAAAATACCTAACCGCAATGTGATCCGGAGGAGCTGCCGCACCGGAGAGCCCCGCTACTGGTGAGTTTTGCTTTTATACATTTTTTTTGGGCCCACCGAGGCCCTAAGTGTGTTTTCTCGCAGGAACCGATGTAAATTTAGTTGAATTCTGCCAAAAATGACTTAAAATAACCAACCCGAGGCGGGTCACCGCCGCGGGCGGAAGCGCCGTCGCCGTGTTAGATTTCTGAAATTGGCCGAGTAGGCCCTGGGACTGATTTTAGATTTTTTTGGGATATTTGTAGGTACCGTAAGCGCGTTTCAATTCCCGAAAAAAAATTTAGGGAACCCAGGGACCGCCCATAGGCGCAATAATAATTTAGTTTTTGGCGTCAAATCAGGTAAGGACCCCTCACCCTATTTCCTATTATAGATGTGAAGTTTGAATAAATAATAATACGATTTTTTGTACAAGTTAAATAAATATGCATAATTAATTATGAATTGCTAATGGATCCCGAAATCGGACATTGTTCTCTGTTGATTCTTGTTGATTTATTTTACAATTTAAATGCATGATGATATCTGGTTTAGAGTTTTAAATGCATGTATTACTGTCCTATTGGACTACTGTGTGATTTTAGAATTTAAGATATGATTATATTACCGGATGCATGTTCATTGTTTATGTGATTGTGTTTAATTTGATAACGGAGATTAAGGATAAACAGGAAAAGGATGTGATCTAATAAACAGATAAGTTGACAGCCTCACTAGATATCATGGGAGTTGGTGGACAGAACAGGTTCATAGAGAATCATACAATAAACGTTGTCTCATACCGGACGGGGTATTGAGATTTAATGTCTTGACGCTCATACCGGATGGGGTATGAGGACGGCCCTGGAATTAAGATTGTTAAGGAAAAATGTTCACGTGTAGCGGAGACACCCCTATGCATCCCATAGATACTAGTAGACTGGTAAAATGAAGAACGGTGATGATTAGTTATTGTCAGTGAATATGAATTTATGATATGTTTTATATTATTGATTGTGCATGAAGTTATGATATGCATGATGTTATTGTCTTTATAGGTTGTTTTCATAAATTCCATAATGATAAATGAACTGTAAATAGTTTTATTTATGATAAATGAATTTATTTAAATTTAGTGTTCAATTAGTTGTTTTTTGTTTTCTACCAATCTTTACTTCTGTGCCGGCGACATAGTGTGATGTCTTTACTGGGTTAGTGTAGTTCACTCCTTATTTAACCATTTCATATCAGGAGGACCTGGTTCTCGAGCCTGATCCGCAAGAATACTGCGAGTAGATGCTAGATGTTTTATAGTTTCCTTTATTTTTTCATGTAGCATATTTTTTTTAAAGAATTTATTCCGTGATGTTTGTTTAGTACTTTTAAGTTATCGTGTAAGGGATGTTAATCTTAACCTTTATTTCGCTTCCACACTCAAATTATTATATGTATTTCCTTTTAAATTTCCAGAGCAGTTACATAATGACTTATTTATACAAAAATATCAAATAGTTATTAACAATAATAGCAATTTATTAACAACTAGTAATAGTTAGTCCAATAATGGTTAAATTATAAAATAATGACAATAAAACAGGTAATGACTATTTTAAAGTGAATTTGATTTGTCTTTATGAAATAATTTTATTTTTTTCGATAACCCTCACATATTTTAAAAGGATAGCCTTCTTATGTTGGATTTTCTCAATTGAATATAATATATTAAATTTGATGTTTCTTAAAGAATAAAACGGACCTAAATAAATAATCTATAATTTGTTGAATAATTAGTAAAACTTTTAACTTCTATGAACCAAAAATCCTTATTGTAAGCTAAATTTTTCATCAATTGCATTATAACTCTACAAGTTTTGTTGTTTATCGTGATTGTGCACTAATAGGCCATGCATGCACTTGGTTATTTATGAGGTGCTCTAGAGAGTTTGCCACAATTTCCATCAGAGGGTTCCTATTCCACCCTAGTTAAACTCATTCTATAAAGGTCATGAAACTTGATTAATGGTTTAGTTCATCCTTATATTCATCATGGTTTTGCATTATTCACATTATAGGAAAAAGACTAATTAATAGTGCTTTAATAAATTAACTAATGAGTTATTATTACATATATAAACCTAATTCATAGGATTGTTAATATCATATGTTGGGCTATTATCATCATTGATATCTCAAACTGGTTGTAATCTCATTCCATTTGATGTTTTATTTAGTGATTTTCTTCCTAAATTTACTTCTAACTTTTTGTAACTAATAATTATAATTTAAGTCTTTAACAATTGTTTAATCACATCATCTTTCAAATAAATTTCTCTTTCTTACAATTAAAAGTCTTATTCTTTGCAATAACTATTGTCACTCAACAGTTATAGACCATAAACACAAAAAAATGTTCGTTTTATGTTCAGTAGAATATTTTGTAAGAAGTTTCTTAACCATTCGACCTCATCACTAGCCATCCCTAAAGCAATAAACTTTGACTCCATTATGGATTTAACAATAATAATTTGTTTGGTTGATTTTTAAGTGATGGCACTATGACCAATGTTGAATATGTAACTATTAGTGGATTTTATCTCATCTAAATATGAAATCTAATTATTATCATTGTATCTTTTTAATATAATAAAAAATCTAGTATATAGAATATCATAGTTCATGGTACCTCTTAGATATTTCATTAATCTTATTGATGCAATGATTTTAACACAAAAATTATATTTATTGCACCCATGTATTTCATATAGAATTTAGAAAAAAGCAAACAATTTGTTTTATATATTATATTAAGACTAGTACTACAAATAAGCATATTATCTATATATAGGCGTATGATCACACAATCACTATTAACAAGTTTTATATATACATATTTATCCATTTTAATAAAAAAAATTGTGCTAAAAATTTCTTATGTCATTCTCTCTTTACTGGTTTCAAATCATATAAAAATTTAAGAAGTTTGCGGACTTTATTTTCTTAATCATGAATGAAACAACCCTCACTTAGTGCCATATAAATTTTTTTCTTCCAAAATACTATTTAAAAAGACTATTCAATTCAACATCCATTTGGTGAATTTCTTTTCAAAAATAGAAGAAACTCTAGTTACATAGGCAAAATTATTAAAATAGTATATTATTTTTTAGTAAAACTTTATACAACATGAACATCTTAAAGAAGAGTTTTCATATATGTAAAACTAAGAATTGTGGTTAAAGAGAGAGGAGAATTCAAATGTGATTATTGTAATTCAAACTATATATAAACCCTAATAACAAACTATCAAAATAATTGAACAATAAGTATCAAGTTTAGATAAATACATGAGAATATATGTAAGATGCATGCATGAATAATAACAAGTATTTCTTCTTCCATATCTCTCTCAATATTTCTCTTTCGTTAATTTATTTCTTTGTATCGGTAATCTCTCTCTCTATATTATTCTTGGTGTATGAGGAAGTGTTCTTGACCCAAAAGAGAGGTTTTTTTGATAAAAAAGATGAAAATAGGTGGTCAATTTTTGAAATAATTTTTGTTTATGCTCGGTGGATTTTGCCTAAATGCCCCAAAAAGTGAAAGTACATAAAACTCCTCCGGATCCGAAAAGCAAAAACCTCGCCGGAGACCGGGAATCTGTTCTCTAACAATTCTAGAACCCTAACAAACCCTCGTTGTCTTTCTGTCATCAACCTTACCTTGGAAATCATCCATTCCGGTAGATTCTCCTCCATCGGAAGTAGAAACAAAGTAATGATTCCAGAGATGCACGTCCATATATGATGCCAATTCTGAAAGGAGGATTCACTGTTTGCTCGAAGTGCTCTGCTACTCGATCCTCACTCTCTACCAATACAAGTAGTAAGTCTCTTTAGACGATCATGGTCTACTTCCATTCTTCTTCGCTTCTCATTTCGTATCCATTGTTTAAACTGGTTTTTGTTTAGACATGCATGTGCCATCTCTTTGCTCTATGAAGCAGCTTATGAAACTTTTTCAATTAGACTTGATGCTCCTCTCTGGGTCGGGTTTCATTTTGTGGTACCCTGCTGACCTCGGGAATTTCATTTTATGATAAATTGAAGGGTACTAGTTATCTCCATCTTTGATTTATTATCTTTTTTTGAGATTCTTGCTTGATTTATGACAGTATATAGAGAGGTTAGAAATGCTGTCTGTGGGTCTGATATTCAATGGCGTGGAAGGTCATATGCTGCTTCTCTTCCGTCTGAAAGGCCAAAATCCCAGAATGTTCGCAAAAGAGTTTCAAAAGATGAACGGCGAACTATGGTGGAGTCCTTCGTGAACAAGTACATATATTTTTTTTTCTCGCCTCTTCTAATAGCTATAGAAATTCACAGGCCGTTTATTTCCCCGAATAATTATTTCCGACATTCCTCCTGTTGTTTTCTAGGAGCAAAATGAATTTGATGGCCATTAAAATTTTTGTCGTGACTTTTTTTAAAAAAAAATAATTTTGTGGTTGTGACTTTTCCCAGAAAGAAAATCCATGAGTGGAAGAATCACTTCTTAAGAGATGAAAAGTTAGCCTTTTCTTTTCTTAACACATGGAAGAGATGAAAAATTGGAGTGCAAAAGGTTTGTAATACAGAATACATTAAGTTTAAAAATTTTCTAAATAGATCAGGAATCATGACTCTTTTACATACGAAACTATTGAAGTATGTTATTGTATTTCTAGTAATTTTTTTATTGTTACTTCTTTGGTACGCTATTATGCCCCCCCCAACTCTCACACAAATTCACTAGCATAACATTAATAATCCTCCATCTGATATGTCATGTTCTTTTATTGGAGTATCCAAGTGGTTTTAGTATTGCCTTGATCACCTATGGGAAAGCAATTGAAGGCTTTGAGGTCTTATTGTTGCTAATTGATTTAGTAGTGTAGTTTGGCTTGGATTCTTTGTATTTTTGTTTATTACCTCAATTCAAATAAACACTTTGACTTCTCCGTTTTGTACTCTATTGAATGGGGCAGAGATCATATTAAGAGGAAAGTGATTATAGATAACAAGGATGAGGTATCCTCTCCAAAAATGAGAAAAAAAAGCAAGAAATAAAACAAGTTCGGAAATTTATGTGTCGCTTATCTTGACATAAGACAGCTTCCCCAATTCCTTTGCAGAATGGATAATAAGACAGCTTCCCATTCCTTTGCAGCGTAGATAAAGGCAATTCCCAAAAACGAACCTTTGCGCATACAGTGGCCAGACTTAGCATCCTTTATCTTGAATAACCTATTTCCGAACGTAGCATTCTCTCCTGAATAACTAATCTTTTACAATTTCACTTCTTGAATGACTTAGTTTTACATTGTATGCTTGCTCATATTTAAGTTTAATCTTCTCAATAGCTGGGACGAGAATTTAAATGATCAGGAAAGTTTGTTTATTATTAAGTTGCCAAAGTATCATATATGCTATGAGGATATTATGCATGCAGAGTTGACTGAAACAATGATCAAACTATATTAGTAATTTTAGTTGCAAGAACTAATCATTTAAAGTGACCTTTTCTCTTGAAAGTGTTTTCATTCTTAGAATCATAAAATTTATTGTGGACTTCTTTCTTCATTCTCAAGTTGTTTAGGTTATAATTTTCTAGTTTCTTTGTATTGAAGTCGATTAAGAATAGTGTTATCATTTGTTTATTTTTAGTGACAATGAAGAGCTGATGTGAATTTATTATTCAAATAAATATTTATTTTTAAATAGTAAGGTTTGAATGGAGGCGGTTTCATGAACTTTCTGTAGGTACAGGAGAGCTAATGAAGGAAAGTTTCCAACTTCATCTGCAACTCATAAACAAGTTGGTGGTAGTTACTATGTTGTTAGAAACATTCTTCAAGAACTAGAATCCCAATCTAAGGCATCTCCCTCAAACATTGAGAATGAATATTCAATGGGAAAAGAGCTAATTCAAGAGAATGAGTCATTGCCTAAAGCAGGAACTCGAAATAATGGCCACTCAGAAGCTATCGATAATGTGGAAACCATTAGTACTCGTGACGAACATCTATATGCAGATGGAGAGCTGCAAACTGTCACTTGGGCTGAAAAAACTTTGTCTGAAGGGGTTGCGAAGTGCCCAATTGCAGTAAGTATCTATAGTATTGATTGTTCAGTCAGCTGTAATTTTGTTGTTGAGATAAACGAGAGAAAGTTGTATTAAATGTAGGCACCAAGGGGGTTCTGCCCATTTACAAAATATTTACAAGTCAATGAGCATATCTACAATAAAACCAAATCATCAAGGCTGGTAAGGTTATGTCCTAGAATGATGGACCCAAAAAAGTGAAAGCATTTGTTCTTGATGTTGCGAAAGCTATCCTCTTTGCCTTCAAAAACACATTTATTTCTTTCTTTCCAGAGGATCCAAAGGATGGTAAGAGGGATAAGTCAAAGTTTCTTATTTCCTTTGCATAAAAATTCCGAGGCCTTCAATTCATTCTTTATAAAACCAGCAGTAACCCATTTGATTCCGAGGAGTCCTATGACCATAGTCCATAAGTTTTGGGTGAAAGGACAGTGTAGGAGAAGATGTCTACATGATTCTGCATTTTCTTTGCAAAGGAAGCATCTATTGGTTAATATGATACCTCTTTTCATAAGATTGGCAATGGTAAGGATCCGTTCTCTTGTTGCCTCCCAAGCGAAAATGGAAATGTGAGGGGGCATGCTGGTCTTCCAAATCATTTTTCCGGAAAATCTGAATTCCTCACCTCATTTTGGCCTGTCAAATGGTAATAAAATGATTTGACCAAGAAGTTGCCATTGCTGCCAAAAGACCAGCGGAGTTATCCTCTTTATTGGTGGGTTGAAACTCGGCCAATAAAGATAACAGATTTTCATATTTTTCTAACTCCTAGTCTTGTAAGTTCCTGCTAACTGCAATATTCCATCCTCTGCCATTTTCGACATCAAAAGCTCTTTCAACCAGCATGTTTTTGTTTTTGGAAATTGCATAAATTAGGGGGAATCAGTTCTGGAGCTTGGCTGGGCCGCACCAATGGTCAGTCCAGAAAAAAAATTTGCTGCCTCTTCCTGCAGACCAGACCGCACAGTCAAAGAAACAGTCATTGATGTTTGTGATGGCCCTCCAAAGACTTTTGCCGTAGGTGTTATGTGTCCTGCTATGTTCCTTTTGTCTATCATTTAAATTCCACTCACAATCTATAATTTTTTTCCACAAATTATTGCCTTCGTTTCAGAATCTCCATATCCATTTACCATGGAGAGCTTTGTTCATTGTGGTTAGGGATCTTAGACCAAGAACCCCACATTTTTGGGATTGCTTCACATCATCCCATTTTATAAGATGGAATTTTGTTGCGGATGCAAATATGGAAAGCGCAACAAGAATAGAAAATTGACGTTCAATTAAATATGAAATGCTAATTAGTATTAAGATTTCTAAATAGTTAGAATTCTAATTAGTATTAGATTCCTAAATAATATATATATTTTTCATTAGTACTTGATCTCTAAATAGTGTAGAATTTCTAATATTTTAATAGAGTATTTCTAATTAGATTTAGATTTCAAATTAAATTAACATTTCTAAATAATAATTGTAACTTCTATGTAAAGGGATATGCTTGATATTAATAAAAATAGGTCAGAATATTATTTTAAACTACGAGATTTGAGTTCTCTCTAATGAGATCTAAGGTAGCAGTTCCCTTTGATGAGTTGTAAGTTTTTTTCACAAAATAGGTTGCTCTCGCAATAAGAATAAGGTTGTTAATCCTTTACTAGAAGACGATTTTGTTATTAACTGCTCGGTGACTCGATCTTTAATCAGGGAACATAACAAATTTCCTCTTATTTTCTTCACTGCCCCAAAGAAATCTATATTGAATCTTCTCAAGTCTTTTAGCCACTTTGGTTGGGATGGTGAGAACGGAGAGAAAATAAGTTGGAAGATTGGAAAGAGTGTTTTTAATCAAAGTTAATCTTCCACCCTTGGAAAGAAAGTTTATTTTCCAAATTGCAAGTCTTTTTTTCAAATAGATCAACAATCGGGTCCCAACATGCTCCATCCTTATGATTTGCACCAAGGGGAACATCAAGATATTTGATAGGGAGATGAGAAACTTTACAGTTCATCACACTTGCAAGGAAATCTGTTTCATTACTTAAACCTATACCAACCAATTCCGACTTTCTCATGTTTATACGCAAGCCGGAGACAACTTGGAAGGAGAGGAACGTACACCTCAGATTAATGAGGTTGCTGACTTCAGGTTGGCAAAAGAGTAATGTATCATCAGCAAAGAATAAGTATGTTATTTCCATGTTGTTTTCTTCCCCACAGTTATGCCTTTAATGAGTCTTGATGTTCTTGTCTGCTCAAGTAATTTATTCAAAACTTGCATAACTAGGATGAAGAGCAATTGAGAGAGGAGGTCACCTTGTCTCAAGCCTCTTGATGCAGTGAAGCACGAGGAGGGACCGCCATTAATCATCACAGCGAAATTAGTTGTAGTAATACACATTCTGATCCATCTCCTCCATTTAATCCAGAAACCAGATTTTTCTAGCATGTAATCAATGAAGTCCCAGCTTAATTGCACAGAATCCCTTTTTTCTTATTGCGAGGCAGATCGCCAACAACCTCATTTGTTATCATTATTGCATCTGTAATCTGCCTTCCTTCTAAAAAAGCGTGCTGACAGTCACAGATAATAGATTTGAGTAATTTTGAGAATCTTTTGACCTGTACTTTTGCAAGTAGTTGGTAGATAGATCCGATCAGACTAATTGGTCTGAAATCATTAAAGCACCTGACCCCTTCATTTTTGGGGATTAGTACAATAAAAGTGGAGTTTATTGATTTTACAAAGGAACCATGCTTATGAAAATCATTGAAAAAGCCAAGAACGTCCTTTTTTACCTCTTGCCAAAAGCTTTGGAAGAATTTCATGTTGAAGCCGTCGAGTCCAGGCGCTTTGTCACCATTGCAATCTTTTAGACACGCAAATATTCCATGTTCAGTGAATTCAGATTCCAAGAGTACCCTATCAGCTTCCCCAATCTTGTTGAAGCATAAATTATCTAGCTTTGGTCTGTTATGAAATTCTTCTTTGTATAGTAGCTGGAAGTGCTTTCTTGCTGCTTCTCTCATGTTCTCATTCCCTGTGATAGAATCCCCATCTACCAGAATATCTTCCACATAATTGGTTCTTCTTCTATGATTGGCGAGGCAATGGAAATATTTTGAATTTTTATCACCCTCTTTGAGCCATTTTTCTCTGGCTTTCTGTTTCAATGAGATAGCTTCCCAATGCATTCGGTCAGCCACTTTAAGTCTCAATTTGTTCCTCTTTTCTTTACCTTCCGAGTCCAAACCACTCTCGGTTTCAATAAGATCAAATTTAGCCAGCTCACTCAGTAGGTCAGTGACATGTTCTTCCTCCTTAAGCCCAACCTCCTTGGTCCATTTTTTTCTTTCATTTTTCAGGCGGAAGAGTTTAGTGGCAAGTCCGTAGCTGGCGGTTCCCTGAATAATAGTATCTTTCCAGAAACCAGAAATCATGGCTCTATAGCTATCAACTTTCAGTCAGCTGTAATTTTAGAAAATAAACTAGGGTTTCCAGAGACGGCAGATCATAAAATGATTCACAACTAAGAACTAACAGAACCTTTCTGAGACAGAATTTCACATGCTTCATTTATAGATTTCAGAAGTATTTTCCATGATAGTTTCATTCTGGTGGTTTATGTGGCTTCTTGTGGTACATTCTTTTTAATGACTAGTTAAAGATCTCACTTTGAAAAGCTGAAAAACATTGCTTTCGTTGCTTGTTTGTAGAGAGCCTACCAAATTTCTCTTTTGGTTTTGTTACTTCTTTCCAGCTGGCTGTGATGAGAGTGAACTGTTTTGGCAGCATATCCTGGATTGAGTTTAGAAGCTACCGTGTTTGTGATGTCTATAGAACAAAGATAGTTTTGAGGTGATGAGCATAAGCCTTGTTGCTTTTCTATAAGTAGTCCCTTTTCCATGTTGCAAATCTCCTTCAAATTTAGTCACCACTGGATCACACGAAGATCCACCACTGGATCACATGAAGATCCATCTTTGAATTTAGCTTCTTGAGGAAGACTAAGATACTTCAATAGAATAGAGGCCACTTGGCATCCCAAATGCTAGAAATTATTCACCTCCGGTACCTCCCGAAGGCCACTAATCCAATTTGGCCAAGTTCATCTTTAAGCCGGACATGACCTGGAAATAGAGAAAAATACATTTGATAGAAAGGAGAGCATCTCTATCATATTAGGTGAGATCTCCACAACATTCTCCTTGTCAACCTGAAATAATTCAGATCCCTTTCCAAATTATCCAGACAATCAACAATTTGCATTAGCTCTAGATTTTGCTTCCTAACAATCTCCTCCATAATTAACTTACCAAACTCACACTTTATATTTAAAAAAAAAAAAAAAAACTAACCGAACTCTCCCCTGGCACAATCCCACCTTTCCTTGTCAATCTGAGATAATCCAGATCCTCTTCCAGATTATTCGAACAATCAATAGTTTACATAAGCCAATCCCTCCTAGCATTTGTGTCTTTTACTGGCCCGTTGCTTTGTTTAGAAGCCACTTAGCAATGTAGTCCCATATCCTATATATATTTTTTTAAATAAGTCCCGGTATCCTATACATTCCCTCAATTTTTTAACTAACTCGTAAAACCAGGACTCCTCAATCTCTTTTTTATAAATCTGAATGAACAATGCCTTCTAGTGCTACCCCCACTAGGCATAGGGGAAATGATTAGAAATAAAGTCCATCAGTAACTTTTGCAGCGAGCTTGGAACCTGCCAATGAAAAAATAGGGTGTACATATTAAATGGTGAATTCTGGAAAAATTAGGCTTTTCCTTGGAGTTGAACTAAGTCCATCTGTCCGGTGTCAGTGGAAGATCAATAAGACTAAGCTTATTCAATAGCCCCCTACTTTCCTTTAAGCACACCCTAGAGAAAGAATCCCAAGACCTCTTTCGAGCAAACAACACTATATTTAAATCTCCATCAATCACTCAAAGGAGGTGTCCTAGCCTATGAGTATCCCCAATGTGATTCATAATAGCTCCCTATCCCTACCTCCTCTCCAATATACACATTTTTTAAAATAAAAAATGTGAAAGTGTATATTGATATAAGCACCAATAAGGTATCGCCTATGTACAAAATTTACAAGTCAATTAAAGTATAAAAAAAGTTTTCTAAATCCTCCCTAGAATATAGAGGATGACCCCTTAACAAAAATCTGAGGGCCTGGAACCATCTATTCTTAATAATATCAAAACCATCTACATTTTCAACCCCATCAAAAAGCCCTTCTATTCGTTTCATTCCACACCATCCAAAAAATAGTAAGCGGAATGATCTCTAGTGTCTTCCTGTGACCAAAAAATGCCCTTCCAAACCACAACTCTTCCCTCATGGAACTTGCTTTCACCCAATTAACACCAAGCATCCCATAAACTATACTCCACAGCTTATATACCAGTTTGCTCATATTACGGAAAATTTAGGTGTGCCCCCCTAAGTTGGATATCTTTATTTCTACCACTTCATGTGGTTCCAGAAAAAATGAAAAGGAACATAAGTTGCCATTGAAGGGTTCCTTTTTTGTTGGGGTATGGTTTGTAGTTGGATCATAATGTTAGAATTTTCAAGAAAGGATTCAACCACTACTTATATTG